GGTATTCATAATAGATGATAAATGGAAACATGTAATAATAATATCCTAAGAAATGATATATAATCATAGCATATATTTGAATAATATGAAAGACATGATCAACTAAGCATAGGATGGAAATAATAATATGATAATTTATACTAACATGTGAATGCATGCTTATGATAGAATAGAATGTATAAATGATATATAAGATAGGGTAAAGAAGAACTCCCTTAGAAACAGCAGTGAAAAACGTCCATGGAATAATCAACTTATGGAGAATGTTGGTAATGATCATGCATGTATCATCATGGGATTAACGGACATCTTTTGGGTTATTTTATGATATTTTGCTAAAAATAGGTACACTTATTATGTGACATTGCTCTATGTTGTAGGTAATGCTATGATATGTCACTATGCAGAACTGGAAGCAACTACTAAATCATAGGCAGTTAGAGAAAATTCTAGAAGGGGGACAACTGGCTAGATAATTGTCATTTGGCCCATTTATCACATGAACTTTTATTAGTTAAAGGCTTAAATTTTCAGCCTATAAATAGGGAAGGCATTCATACCATTTGGATGAATCAATCTTCTCCAAAAATTATTCTTCACGTAAAAGCCATGGCTTCCAAAGTTCTTCATTAGGAAGTACAACAACAGTTGCGGGAGATTTTCTGTGTAGCAGCAGTGATCAAGAGGATTCATCTCTATTTTTGTTTCCTCGATTGAGATAGGGAAGTTATAATTTAGATTTGAATGTTTTTCATAGCTTTATATGATATTTGGTTTTGAACATTATGTGTTTTGTTAAATGTTTTTTATATGTTGAAAGTTTATACTTTATTTTCATGTGTTGTCAAACTTATAATATGATTTTAGAAATAAAATTGCCTTTATGTATGGATACTATATGATTTTTAGAAATGAAAGTTATGGATATTTCATATAACTTTTGATCAACATTGATTTTTGAGAAAAGCAAAGTTTGTATAACGAGATGTTTGTTGCCAATTGTCATGAATTGTTAATTGTTTAGTTACTTGAATTAATGAAAATTGATTCTTGTTAATTAAATAGTATTAATATTTTTTGTGACATATGAATATAACGTTTTAAGCATCATAATAGTAAACACTACCATATAGTATCCATATCCATTTAATCCTAGATCTGGTGCTCTTTTGAATGTTGTAGCACTGCCTGGCATTTTCCATTCTTAAATATCTATTTGTTATTCACCATTTATTTCCACAATTTAATCAATATCTTTTTCTATATGCCATGCAACTCTTTTGTAACATGTTTTACTCTATGTGGGTTCGATATCCAAAGGTTTTATAGCTTCCAATTTATTACTTAAACATGATAGTGTGTGCTTGCATGTTGCTATAGAATTATCATAGCATCACGAGGCTTGAGGTTGACACCTTGAAAATAATAAAGTGATATTAGGGTCACCCCGAGCGAGAGAAAATGAGTGGATGTAACACTTTCATCAAATGTGGCAGACGATGATTTTGACTTAAACGCATGGTAGGACTATTACTGGTATTAATAACTGTCCATGTGTTTATATGTCCTTTAAGGATGAAGAAGAATATGTTAAAGGACTAACAATGAGGAGTCTATATGTTTTAGGCAAGTCATTAATTTAGTTTTTTAATATATTCTCTCATTTTCACATTGATTTTATTAACTTGCATATAATTTTAAAGAAGTTTAGTTAAGTTCTGATTAGGTAGAAAGGAATCAGAGCCCTCAAGTAGAATTTGAGGCTTGTAGGGTGCCTACAATAGTTGATGAGGTAGTTGTCCCAGTGGAATCAGAGGTAACTATTCATGTTGTGATTGAGAGTGAGGTGATTTTTCAAGTTGTGGTTGGAATTAGTCCTTTGGTTGAGGCATCATTGAGTCAATCAAGAGTACTAGACAATGATCCTACTATCTTATTCTTGGAGCTGACAAAAAGAGGAATTTGATACCTCTCAGTCTCATAAAGAGGAAGAGTTCATTGGGAACCAAAACGAATAAAGCATGAATAGTGTGAGGTAGAGAAAAAGTAGGAGAATTTGTAACATGTTGATTTTTACAACTCATAAGACGATAAAAATCGCACGATAACTTGTTAAAGCTCCATACTAGTTATTATGTTCTTCAAACTTTCAAGATTGAGGTGAAGGCAAGTGTTGAAAAATATTTGACCTTTATAGAAGTTCATACATATCTACTTCTTAAGTTTTATTTCTTATATAACTTTATTCGGGTTAGTTATGTGTTTTTGTACATATATTCTTAGTTAAAGAGAGGAGAGAATCTTCTAATGCAAAAGGAATTGAGAAGGTGTGAGGGAATTAGATCAATAAGCTCTCTTTGTGTTATTCCATTAAGGTGATACCCTTTAGCTCTCATATACCTTTTGAAAAGTCATAAATATGACGTTTGTGATAATAATCTATGCATGCCATATGTCATTGAGTAAAAGCATGTTTAAATGATTAAAATGAAACTAAACATTTACTTGTGAAATTTGCCCATAAGAGATGTTTGTACAGACAATAAGTTTGAAATTTTGGATTAAATTTCATAAAATAATTAGGAATTAATATATACATGTAAACGGGCCTTAGTGTATTTTTTCCCCCAAAAAACAAGCAAAGATTAATTACTATATGTATTTTAAAAGATACACATTTTTTAGTGATGAAATGTTAGAAATTCTAGACAACATAATTTTTTTTGAAATGTAAATAGAGTCTCGTTAAAAAACCCCTTCATATCTCAATAAAGTCTAGACACGATCAAAATAACGAAAAAGAAAAGAGTGTCGAAATAACTTTTATTAATAAACTCCGAAAAATAAACTAAGCATTCATTATCCGATACAAACTATTACCCATAACAACGCCCTAAGCTACAATAAAACTCAACCTAAAAAAATATAATCCGGAATTGCAGCAAAACCTAATGACCTCTCATAAATAGACCGATGCCTAACTCAAGCTAATCACCTATGCCACCACCACTATAAATCAAGGATCCAACCGTTGCTAACTCCTACAAGCACGACTAAGGAGATCCCCACTAGAGCAACTCATGATATGTAAAAGTTCTACCAATGTCTACATGAGAACGAAGACACCATTACGTTAAAAGTTATACCCAATAAAAAATCCACCATAAAATAGTTAAATCTGAAAGAATTACAGAGATCTAAATCAGATAGAGAATCAATAACCGAATCATACTCATTGACTCCCTGATCCTTAAATCATGGAGATGTATTCTTTATTAACGATAAACTTGCTGATCTTTTCAATACTTACTAATTTAGAACATCTTCCTTATTTATAGCACTAGAATTTCCTTCATCACATTCCAAGACCTTAGGTGGACATCTAATATAAAAAATTTCCCACCCATCATCTGATATTGTATCAACATTAATTACAGACTTAAAAAGGCCCATTCCTCGTTCATCTTCCACGGCTCCAGCATCGAGTTGGTCCAGCATAATCTCTAACCCAACTTCAATATCAACAGCTTGAATCTCTTCTTTCAATATGTTTTCTCCCAAAATCATATCGGAACTACACAAACCTAGGGAAACATTATGATTTATAATTGGATTCTCTAAAGTTGTAGGGAAACAATTCTCATCATTTAATGGTTTTAAATTGCTCATTGCCACATCATCCACCCCTTCTGCCCAACAAGCACCAAGTTATCTACAAATAAATTATCCACCTCCACGATCGACGCCGTCATTATACACTCAAGTTTGTTGTTGTGATCATCAGATGCATCATGATCGGAACCCATTGGTTTCCTCTACTTCTTGTTCTTCTTCTTCAGGAACCCATGAATTTGACTTGAAAACTAGATCTACTTCATACACCAAAATGTTTAAGGTTTTATCACCAACCTTTAATTCAATAATTTCATCTGTTCTATTACGAGCATTAGAAATTATTTGAACCTTAACCCGATCAAATAGCGAGGGGCTTTCTTCGACTGTATAATTTTTATAAATTGTAGTATATATCTTTGAAAAATCATAAAAAATTCTATAAGATAAATTACAAACTACGTCTTATATTTATATAACCATAAAAAAGCGTAATTTTGTTTATAAATAGTTCTTGATTTTGAATTATACATAAGGAGTTATAAATTTTCAAATGAGCAATAGTCAAAAGACAAGGCAATAGACTATTTAATTTCCAAAAATAATAGTTCAAAAATCATAAACCATACAATTTAAATTATAGATTTAATTTATTTCGTTAGAAAGATGACCAAATCTAATTTTTTATTAAATAAACGTAGTATGATTTGAAATTATAGATTATTAATTACTCATTTTTTAAAGTTAATGTAAATTGTCATATTTCAATATTTAATATTTTAGCCATGTTTTATGGTTTTATAAAGCGTAAATGACGAAGATATACTCGAGCATAATATAGTCTTTGATAAGGAAGTTTGAAACAAGCATAATATTCTGAGTGTCAATGTTTTATATTTATGACTAGAGTTTTACAAGTATTGAAACTTTAATTTCTACTTCATTAAAGAGGTGATATACCCATATGATTTCTCATACGAATTTTTCCATTGCTCTATATTTCACTTCCGCACTAGATGGTGAGACCAAATATGTTTCTTAGTCTTCCATGAAACCAAGTTTCCTCCAACAAACACACAATATCTCGAGGTAAATCTTCTATCTTCCTTGCATCTTGCCCGATTCGAGTCTAAAAAAATTTGGTCCTTGAATGAACATGATTTCTATATAATATTCCACGTCTAGGAGCATTTTTCAAATAATGCAAAACTTATTCTACTACTTTCCAATGATCGAAAGTTGGCGATGACATATATTGTCTCAGAACACTCACAGGATAGGCGATATCAGGGCACATTACAGTAAGATAATTTAATTTTCCAATAACTCTTTTGTACCTTTAAGGATCATGAAATAATTCACATTCTTTTGGTTAATTGTAGATTAGGAACCATTGGAGTACTACAAGGTTTAGCACCTAATTTTCCCGACTCCGATAATAGATCAAGCACATATGTTCTTTGGAATACAAAAATTCCTCTTTTACTCATGTTCACCTTAATTCCCAAGAAATATTTTGACATCCCCAAATCTTTGGTGTGGAACTGACTACATAGATAAAATTTCGCAAGAATCACTTTCAATGATAACAATATCGTCCACACATACAACTAATAGGATAATGTTTTCATCGGAATTTCTAAAGAAAACATAATAGTCTAACTCATTTTTCTACATCTCGAACTTCTCAATAGCTTGACAAAATTTTCCAAACTAAGTCTGAGGGCTTTGTTTCAAGCCATATAAAGATTTCTTTAGATGACTTACTTTCTCATACTCCCCCTAAGCAACAAAACCAGGTGGTTGCTCCATATACACCTTCTTCTGAAGATCACCATGAAGAAAGACATTCTTTATCTCTAATTGATGGAAAGACCAATCAAAATGGTTACAAGAGAGATAAATAACCTAACAGAAGCAAGTTTAGCAAAAGAGAAAAGATATCACAATAATCCAATCCAGAGGTTTGATCAAATCTTTTGACAACAAGTCGATCTTTCAATCGATTAATAGAGCCATCAACATTAAATTTAACATTAAACATTCATTTGCACCGAAGAGTTTGTTTACCAATGGGTAAAGGTACCAAAGAGTAAGATAGACGATTATAGAAAACACCAGAAGAAATTAGGTATGTATATATACGTTTACCTTTTTGAAGAGAAATAGGAAGATCAATATCATTTGTGGTAATCGGATCTGATGACGGTGATATTGGTTCATTAGGACATGATTTTGGAACTTTTGTAATCAGGATGGAGCTTAGTAGTTGTGGGCGACGTGAGTAGGTGTTTTTAATGGGAGGCTTAACAAATGAAGGTTGAACTGATGTAAAAGATGATGAATACAAATTTGGTGAGACATGATAAATTAAGAAAACATTTTCCTCTTGATGTAAAGAACCTGAAGAAAAAAGGAAACATGTTTCTTCTAAAAAGTAATACCAGCAGAGACAAGATACCCACCTGACATGGAAAATAATAGTTATACCCTTTTTGTGCATGAGAATATTCTTAAAACACACATTTCAAAGATTTAGGATCAAGATTTTTAACCTGAGGACGAACAACCCAAACAAAATAAGTACAACCAAAAAAAATTTAGTGATAGGAGAAATAAATTTTCATTTGGAAACAAAATTATAGAAATGTGTTTTACCCAACAAAATAGAAGAAGGATTATGATTGATTAGAAAATAAGCGGTAGACACGACATCAACCCAAAAGCATTTTAGAACTTGCATTTGAAATAACAAGGCGCAAGCAGTTTCAAAAAGATGCCTATTTTTTCTTTCAACAACTCTGTTTTTAGAAGGGGTGTCAACACAAGAGGTTTGATGGATCATACCTTGATCAAGAATGTATTTGTGAAAAAAGGACCTGAAAGATACTCTTTTACATTATCACTTCGTAATATTTGTATGGTTGTACCAAACCGAGTTCAAATTTCAACACAAAAGAAGAAAAAAGAGTAAACAATTTAGAATGAGATTTCATCAAATAAAACCATGTTATTCTAGAATAATCATCAACAAAGGTAACAAAATAACGAAAACCATATTTAAAGGTAATTGGACTGGGACCCCAAACATCAAAATGAACTAACTTAAATGGAGTAGAGGTTATTCTTAATAAACTGACAAGACTAAAAAACTAAAGATGTTGAGTAAGAAAATCAAGGATAAAGTTTTTTTTCAAAGAAGGAAGTGAGGGATGACCCAATTGAAAATGTTCTTCAAAAGGAGTAAGAATATCAATACAAGCAATAATTTTGGGTTCTTGTGTATTGAGGATATAGAGATCATCATATTCATGTCCTTCGCCAATAATCCACTTCATAAAGATATCATGAAACAAACAATAACCAGGAAAAATGAGACACAACAATTAAAGGTTCATGTATGTTTACTAATTGACATCAAATTAAAGGATGATTGTGGTAATCTCAAAACAAATGATAAAGTAATAGATGGAGTAGGATTTGTAGAGCCAAACCCAATAAAATGTGATGTGAAACCATCGACTAAAGTAACAAGAATCATATATGAATGAGATTTGTAGTGAGAAAGAAGACCATGGTTACATGTCATATGATTTGTAGTACCATAATAAATGACCCATTTTGATGAAGTGGGAACAAGATATGTATTGGGTTTACCTGACTCAACTAGGGAAGGAACGAGATTAGATGCTTGTTTCACAATTTCTTGAGGGTGAATGAACTTCGCATACTCATCCGTAGATATTGTAACAACTGATGAAGAAGTCTCTACACTAGAGGCAACATGAGAAAAATGAGTTTTCTTAGATTGCATCTTCCGACAATCTCGCTTGATATGTCTCGGTTAATGACAATAGTGACACACAACTTCTTCATGCTCTCATCCATAAGCTCCAAAATGTTGATCAAGTTTGTTGGATTCCGATCCATGTTTTAGTTAGGCACGCCACTTTTTTAATGTTGTTTTCCAAAGTCGGAAGAAGTAGCATGACAAAGGAGAACACTGGAAGGTTGAGAAAACATGACAAGTAAAGAATTTTAGGTATGATGAACTCTCTGGAAAATATATTATAGACTAGAAATTTCTAGACTAGAAAGGATTTGAGATTTGATAGTCTCAAACTCTGGTGGAAGACCAGCTAGAAAGCTCATAACCGTCATTTTCTCTCACTGACTCCGTTGGACCTCTATATCAGCACTGAAAAGAAGCAACACTAAGTTCTCCATATATCTTTTTGAAGTCCATAAAATAACTAGCCAGAGTCAGATCTTCTTTATCAGTCCTGTAAAAATGTTGACAAGCATCATAGACATGAGAGAAATTTCTTTACCATAGTATAAAAATTACAAATAGTTCATCAACTGTTTCACCATCTTGCAATGATTAACCATACCCACCACCTTACTATCAATAGAGTTATGAATCTGGGTATACAAGCGAGCATTTTCTCTCATCCAAAGAAATCGAGAATCATCTATAGGAGGATGATTAGTCAAGTGACTGTCCATAGAAAGACTTAGCAAATACAACTTAATCGTATAGTTCCACTCAAGAAAATTAAAAATATTTAATTTATGGTCAGTAATTTTAGAAGTAACTATAACTATATCTAACATAAATTCAACACTCTTATCACATGTAATTGTAAAGTAACAAAGAACTCACATAATAAATTAAATAGGTGACCAAACAACACTCAAAAAAGAAAAAGAGACGTCCAACCCAAAAAAATGAACCAAAAGCTCGAGTCGACTGCAAGGTGTGATCAAAATCGAGTAGTGATCGCAAAGAAAGAAATCAACATTGGAACAATTCGTCCCCACGCTCCCACGCACCGACGCGTGATGAACTCAAGAAAGCTTATGGTTACACGTATGGCTCGCGCGTAGGGAATCGGGTGACCAGTCTTTCTACATTGGTCGATCGGTGCACGATGGACTACCTAGTGCTGACGGTCGAGAGAGGGGTCTTCCAAAGCTGTTGATGAAAATCGGTCAAAACACCCTTTTCTTTTTATACTTAAACAACAACAAAAAAAAAAGAAACCTTTCAAGCACTCGAATATTTTAAAATGTCTAATACCGTCTAAAAATTAGTAGAGGATGTATTTTATTCATCAATAGGGAGGGTTGTATATACGCAATTAATATAGCTAAACTAGGTAACATAATATATTACATTTAATACAATATAAATCTATAACATATATATTTTTTACTATTTTGACATATACTTATGTTGGAGCTCCACATAATTTTGTATAACCATTGTTATTACTATTTTAGTATAACTACTTGATGATATGTTCTGGCATATGAGAATATTTTTAATGTTTTAAAGTATTAGAAAATGTGTTGGATTGCTCCGATAAAACGAATGTAGCATCTTGGTATTTAGGTGATTTGTATTCGAGATTAGTGTGTTACATGTAATGGTAATAAATTTTAAGTTTAGTCAATTTTAATATCAGCTGGTCATTCGTAGTAAGATGTTATGAATACATACCACTAAGGTTAATAGTAACTTAGGGATATATATATAACACAAAAAAGAAAAAACATCATCAAACTTCAGTTTTAGAAGAGTATACTCTTAAACTTAGGGGTATATTTCATCAACATCTTAACAATTCTCATTATAGTGTGATTAAAATAGTTGAAGGTCCACTTCTCACCCCTAATATTGGTGAGGGTGATCTTAACTCAGAGATCAAAGAGTTTACGGTTCAAAGAAAAAGGTTTGAGATGATGATAAGGTATTCTCGTTCACTAATTGTAGAGGTTGGAGATTCTAGAGACTCTCGGAAGACGTTCATCGTAGTCTTAAAAAATTTAGTGCAAGCTTTTGTTAGTGGTCATTGTATAACACGATCCTGAGGAGATAAATATTTTTTTAAAAGATGATCTTGATATGAAAATTTGAATTTTCGGTACGTCAAGTTCTTCTAAAATATGAATAGTTGAGTTCTATTAAGGCCCGAGACAAATTCAAGGCTAGATATTTCAAGCAGGCTTGAAGGAGCTGAACGTTGAGAGTATAATGTAATTTTGGGCACATATTAATTATTTGAGCATGGTGCAAATTTTAAATGTCAATTTAAAAAGATAATAGTATTTTTATATTATTTCAGTGATTGTGAATCGATTTTGGGACAGAGTTTTTAAAAAAAATAATTTTTAAAAGTCTAGTAAAAAAGAATTTTAAAATTGTTGTTTAAAAGTGCAGCTTAAAATTTAATTATTTGGTTGGTTGTTAAAAAATGAGTTTAAAAAGATAAAATATCAATTATAGACATTATCTTGTAAATTAAAAATATAGAATTTAAATTATATTTACACTTATTAATATTATGATATATAAAATAAATCAACTTAAACTATAATATAAATATAAAAATATTTTAATATAACTCATTAATAATATTTTTATAAAGGAACTATTTTATTAAGAAAAAATATTTATCAATACTTTTTAACATGTGAATATAAAATTATTACGAAATAATAATTAAAATATTTTTTTAACAAAAAGAATATTACAAAAAAAATTAGTGCTTACAAATTAAAGTGAATTTTAATATATAAACCATAAATTTTATTAATTTTTAATTAATTAAAATATACTATTAAGTAATAAATTATTTTTAGAGTAATATTAAATTATTAAATAATATGTAAATACATAATTGACTGTAACTCATGCATTAGTAAGGGTAAAATTATAATTTTCTTCTAAACATAAAGTTGAAAATAAAAAAGCTACAAATCTTAGGGTGCGTTTGGTTTTAGAAAATATAAGTTATTTTCTTTTTCATTTTCATATAAAATAGAAAACGTTGAAGAATATGTGTTTGATTGTAAAATTGGAAATGATTTCTAGAAAATGAAAATAAAAATAATTGAAAATATAAAAACATAAAAAAGATGTTTTTAATATATTAAAAAAGATGTTTTTAATATAAAAATGATTTTTAACTTAACTTACATATGTTTAAATCGTTCTAACAATAATTTTTTGATTTAATGGTATCTAAAACCCTCATATTTTAGTAAAAAAGTAAATTTGGTCACTAAACTTTTTTACAATCGATGTAATCCTTAAATTAATTTTTTAATAATATAATTTTGTAGTATTTTTATATTTAATTTATTGAATATCTTACTAATTGTTCATAATTTTATATTTTTAATTTAAATATTTTTTTTAATTTTTTAAAAAATAATAATTCCTCAAACTTTCTAAAATAATTAATTAAGTTCATCTTCCACATCATCGTCCATCGAGTATTGTCGTAATAGTATCGTAAATTGTCACATCAATATTGTATATTGACATATGAGTTTGTGAACTGTCATGTAAGCGTCGAGACATTCAACATTTGATGTTGTTGTTCAAAGGGTTTAGGCATGTAAATAAACTGAACGTTCAGCGAACCGTTCATGAACCGTGCGGCGGGAAGTTTGTTTATGTTCGTTTATTTATTAAATGAACAAACATGAACAAGATTTTGCGTTCGTTTAATTAAATGAACGAACATATATACAAAAGGCTCGTTCATTCATTTATATGTTCGTTTATGTTCGTTCGTTTATGTTCGTTCATTTATGTTCATTTATGTTCGTTTATTTATGTTCGAACAGAGGGCAAGTTGAATATGTTACGAAGATTATTGAAGTTGTTTGGATTTCAAGAAGATTGTTTTGTTAAACAAATTAACTTTAAGACTTTATTATGTTCATATAGCTTATTTATGATTTATGTATGTTTTTGTCGTATTCGAACAAATTAACTCTAAAGTTTCAGGTTATATTAATGAATTTTAAGTTGTTATTCTTGTTGTTTACTTTTTTTTTTACATTCGTTTGTTGTGTTCGAATAAGTTTTTTTTGTGTTTGTGTTGTTCGTTTATGTTCGTTTATTGTGTTCGTTTATGTTCGTTCGTTCGTGTTCGTTTATTATTTAAATGAACGAACATGAACAAGCTATATTCATTAATGAACGAACATGAACAAAAAAAAAATTTTGTTCATTTATGTTCGTGTTCGTTTATTTATTAAATGAACGAACATAAACATACCTCCGTTCGTGTGCGTTCGGTTCGTTTACAAGCCTAAAAGGATTAATTTGTTTTTTCTAAGTTTAACGATCACATTTGTTGTAAAAAAAATCCAGCGACTACACTATATTTGTTTCCAAAAGTTTGAGGGTCATTTTCACTAGACATTTTTTTATGTTAATAACACTATTGTGTGCTATTAGTTATAACATTATTTTTTTTGTATTTTTAAAATTTAATTAATGTCTAATATGCATTAACATTATATTCTAATTATAAACTAAAATAAATTTTGTGTTATGGAATATCTTATCAACATTATTTTATATTGTATACACATGTTAGATTTATATAATGATTTTTAATAATTTTAATCTAATTTAATTATTTAATAATTATTCTTTTTATTTTTTATTTTTATTTTTATTTAAAAAATTAGATACCAAATATACTTTTATTTTAGTTTTGAATTCATATTTCCATTTATATTAACCAACCATGTTTTCTAATTTTCAAAAAGTTAAAAATAGAAAATATTTTCTAAAAACAGAAAATAAAAATAAAAAAAATATTTTCTAGAATCAAAAGGACTCTTAGATTTTGTCCATTTTATATTGATTTTATTTTTTACCCATTTGACATCTATTTTCCGATTAAAACAGATTTTTTAAACTAAAAATACGTTTAGAAAACCACATCAAACCAGCCTTCATCTTATATCAAGGATTCGAAGGCTTAAACCCGACGTGAAGGATTCAAAGTCTCACCATTCTTTTCCGGTTAAAGTTGCTGTTCCCTAATTATGTGCACAAAGAAGTGACTGTTTTTTATACAATTTCAAAGTGAATAGTCAGCATCCACAAGTTTCCTTAGAAAGACAAACCTAAATGAAGGAGACAGGGGGTGGATGTTATAGCACACAAATCAATTCGAAATCCAACAAAATCATAACTTATAATAATAATTAAGAAGATTTACATATGAACCTCTCTCCATTTCTTTTTAAACTTTGCTTAAGCAACGCTGAAGGAACTGGCAGCGCTCTCCACGAACTTTCTGGCTCCCTTAAACCACCTCTTGTCCCCTGCTTGTGCCTTGCAAATGTAAAGCTTGCCATTGTTGACAGTGGCCGTTATCAGTTGGTGCTTCCCACCTTCGTCTCCGTCGGCCGTTCTCGTCAACACCGACAAGAAGTAATACGGCTTTCCACCAACTGTTTGGGTTGAGCTCTCCAATATGTTGGCGGTCGCCACTGCACCGGAGTCAAAACCACCCTACATATGCATGTCCACACGTATATTCAAACTATAATGTAAATATTTTCTTAGTAATTGGAGAAACAAAGGAAATGAAAGAGGGAAAAAAATGAAGTTTATAATACTCAATCGGGCCTAGGAGAACAACTAACTCAATTAAATTAATTTCGATAAATTCAGATAATTAAATCAACCATCAAACAAGGGTATCAGATATTTTGAATTAACGGTCAGATATGACCTTCAACATTTGACTAAATAATCAATTTAATCAAACCTTCAACATTTGTCTAAATAATTATTTTGATTAAATGTTAAAAAGATGTCTCTAACATTTGACTAAATAGTTACTTTGGCATATATTTTTTATTTTTCGAAATTTTGGCCTCTATCGTTTTATTTTCAGACAAAAAAGTCTTTCTATAGATGAAAATCGTTAGTTAACAAACAATTAATATTCCTAGATATGGAAGTTTTTACCCTAAACTAAAACATTAAGGGCTAAAATGCCCCACATACTTTTTATCAAATGTTAGAGGCCTTTTTCGCCCTAAAATGAAACACTAGAGACTAATTTTGATATTATTCTATTTCTATATTATGTTAGTGAATCACCTCAGCATCAGTTTTACCGAAGTATGCTTGTTTCCCAAGCAGATAGTCCACCTGCAAAGATGAAATGAGAGGCAAATGAATGAGCAATTAAATATAAAGCTGAAAAATTTGTTGAAATATTCAAGGGTGAGGGACAATGGATTTATTACGGTGGCGAGGAAATCCTCAGGGGAACCGTAGTCGGTGATGGACTTCTTGTCGATGGGAGTGATCATGACGGTCAAATTGCTGGTGGTGTCGAAGTTGTCCTCGTATCTCAGCACTTGCCCTGGGTACTCCACCTCTTTGCTTGGGTTCCATTTCGATGGTATCGACAGCTTGAATCCATCCCCATTGTAAGACGTGAATTCTGTGTTTGTTTTTGGCTTCCCAAACACATTTGCTGCATATCCAAATCAGTCCCAAATTTAAGATCTTCTCCATTCCCCAATAATATTATTATCTCCTCATTCTAGGGTTCATGAGGACTAAATGGCTGATAAATCTGTCTCATCAACTATGTATATTTAACAATTCAAAAAGCACATTTGAACAAATACGCTACTTTAAGAAAAATAAAGAATTGGATTAACATTGAATCTTATTAGTAACAACGGGAAAGAGGGAAGGAAGTTACCAGCTTCACCATAGGCAGCATCCGCAGGAGAGACCTTAGAGCCGACAGCGGCGGCGCCGATGAGAACGGTGAGAGCCAACCTACGGGAGAGGAGGCTTCCGTCATCATCTTGGCCGGCGGCTTGCTTCTGTGCCCTGTACACTAGCTGCTGGTTAGGCTTTGAAACTTGGCGGAGCGACGGCGATAACGAGGATGATCTACCGGCTGTGGTTGCGGTGAGTGCGAGGTTGTGCAACAAGCTTGCGGCGGAGGCCATGGTAATGGTAATGGTGGTAATGCACTTCACCTTGTTGTTTTAGCGTAAGAAAAAAATAAGTGGGCGGGAGGATTTGGATGTTTTTGATATGTGAAGGAAATTGAGTTGGTGTTTGGATATTGGATGAGGGAGGAGGATTGGATCGTGGATGTCGGTCGGGATAAGGGTACTGAGGCTCTTATTTGTGCCACGTGGATTTCCTACTATTTGTTATGTCCACGTCGGATCTCGATTTTGAAATGGCATAATAAACCAATAGGCTTAGTATAAAAATTATATATATTATATTCAAAATTGATTTTTTTGTGTAAAGAATTTTTTTTATTAAAAATAATGTTTTCTTCGTCACATTTTTATGTGTTTACTGTTATAAAAAAATATTAAGTGATATGTGTCACGTTCATATTTTTAAAAATATATATTTTTAAATAATATTTATCTTTTAAATAAATCAAAAAAACATAAACGTTGCTTAACATTTTTTAACGATAAACACCTAAAAATATAACGAAAAAAGCATTAGACACTTATTTTTAACAAAAAAATTCTTTAGACACAAAAATTCAATTAAGTATAATTTAGAAACTTATTTTTGTATTAAGCTAAAACAATATAACTTACCATTAAATAACTAATTTTACAAGCAATATAGAAATGATGACAAATGTCTCATTTTTAATTTGTATATATTTAAGAGTTATGATCCACTTACATTGTGTAAATATCTTTTAGTTTTACAACTTTTTAGGACCATTGGATTGAGAAAAATCGAAGGCTAAAATTAACTCTTTTTTCCCATAAATATCTTCTAATTTTCTATTGTTAATCTCAACCTTTAATTTCTCTCATCCAATGATCCTAAAATGTATAAAATTAAAAGAGTTTTACAAAGTGTAATTGGACCATGCCTATATATTTAAATATATTTACAAATATATAACATACGAATTAAGTGACCTCAGTAGTTAAGAGATTTATTATTATCTTTTGAAGTTTCATATTCGAGCCATACATATGCATATATATGATTGTTCATTGTCAAAAGATTGATATTCACTCAAAATTTGTAAACAAAATAAATAAATAAATAAATAAAAACTATTATTGCTTAGTTCACATGAACATTTCTTTTAAAAACCAATAATAAAACTAAGCAACTATTGCATAACCAAGATCAACCGTAGTAAAAGACAACATTGTTAGAAAAATTGTGTTAATAAAAGAATAATATAGAATACTAATAAAAAAAATATCATTATAATCAACAAATGGATGGAACGAGTTTACTTTGTCTTGAAATTGTTATTCAAAATAACAATCTGAGACAAAATCAATCCTGAGAAAAATAAAACAAAGTAGTTAAACTTCTTAAAATCAAATAAAAACTAAATAGAAATAAAAATACTCTTTTATATTTAGATCAATCTATCGAAGATAGTTGAGGCCTGTCGCTACACAGTTTCTTTAAGACAAGTTTTTAGCCACTCCTTTGGTGCTCGAGTTCGTTGATCTTCTATCTCCCATGATAAAATAACTAGATGATCAAATACAGTAGCACAATAATAGAGATCATGAACTGTCCTTGCCTTTAACTGTCATTGAAAAACTAGTGGAAGAGAAAAACTTTTTCAAGAAAAGAGAAGTTCTTGAAATCTGAGATAAAAACTTGTTTAGAATTCAATTTGTGAAACTCGTGTTTAACTCACTATCTATAAGGGATTTCCAAGAGAGATCTAATCAAACAAGATATCTTTTAATATACAACTTTAAACGAATACTAATATCTTTTAATTTGAAATATTCAAAAGATAAACTTTTTTACCATTCAAACTTAAATAGATATTATTTTAATTTGAAATATATAAAAGTGTGTAATTATCTTTAATATTCAAAGTTAAAAGGATAACAAATACCTTTTTAAATTGAGGTCTTCAAGAGTAATTATCCTATTAATATTCAAATTAAAATTATATTTTAATTTGCAATAGTCAAAAGGAATATGAATTTAATATAAATATTAAATACATCAATTAAATTCACTCTTTTTTAACAATCCTCCACATGAATGAAATTGATAGTCTTATTAAAAACATTTTGACTCGGTGTGGTAATAGCCTCTATGATCGATAGTTGCATAGGATAGGTAGGTGTCATACTTTGAACCTTCCCTTGTGAAAGTATATTTACTTTATTGGTTAAACAGTAGACACGATATCCGTGAATTGTTCTACCATTTGTGTAAACGATGACATACTTTACACAACTACCCCTCTGACAAGAATTTAGTTATCATGGGTATGTCCTTAAGGCCATGGACATCCGCCTGGTTCTATGAGAGTTTGAAAGAACTATGCCTAATAGTTTCCTTGAAGCAACCTCACTTCACTCTCACATATATGATTTATGTTGCTCGGCTCATTGCATCACACAATGGTTATTAAAAGCTTTGCTTAGCCTATACCACTTTGATCACTATTTACATCACAGTAACAAACATGGGATAAAACCCCCCATAGTGATTGTACATGGTTTATGCAATTAGGTTGTCCCTTGAACCTAGATCTTAGGATCTCCAATCAACTAGTAGGGTTTTCCTTCCCATTAAGCCTTTAAATTTCATAGGCTTTAGTCTCATTCCTTTAGATGTTTCCTTAACTTGATCTCAATTTAACCCTTTGGTTAGCAGATCCGCGATGCTATCCATTAATCTTACAAAATCAATAAAGATAACTCTATTTGAGATCAGTTGTCTAATGATATTATGTCGACGATGCATATTCTCGATATACCATTATACATGAAATTATGTGCTCGAAAAATTGTTGATTAGTTGTCACAGTATATACATACTGTGGGAACATGTTTTATGTAACCCCCTTAGACCGATGTGGTAACCCGATCCAATCTGGGTTGTAATATTAGGGCCACCGGAGCGACCCACTGTAAAACTAGCGAAAATTTTAAAATTTTTCTTAAAACTTGTAAACTCATAAAATCATTTATGAATACAAAATAAAAGTTATCAGTGTTTGAAATAAAATAGAGTTTTAGACTTGTATATAAAACAAAATACAATTACATGCCCCCTAATTACATGTACCATACTCTGCAAGCAACGCCGGAAGAACTCCTTTACTGAAGTCGATAGCTGCACTGATACAATTGTTGAGTTAATCGATCGACGGAATCGACCAAGAGGGGGTGAATTGGCAATTAAAATTTTGGTGGAAGCTTTTGCAGAAAATTGAAAAGATTTGCACAACGATTTAGAGTGGTTCGACTTTCTCAACCAAAGTCTACGTCCACTACCTTATCTATCCACACTAAGGATTTTCCAATAAATTCACTAATTTGTTCTTTCTTTTGAGGACAAAGAGTAACCTTATAACTCCCTCAAGAATTATATCCCAATTCTTGAGCACACTCTTTTTCAAAGAGAAATACACAAATTTGCAAACTTACAAGGAATACCTCACAAGGCAATATGTTTGCACAATTCTAGAGCAAGATAAGAACACTCAAAGATAATTACAATTGAGCACAAATTGTGTTCTTAAAAGCAAAATGAATATTGAAAGAAAATTTGGCTTGATTTGCACAAACTTGATGTTTGATGCTTTCTCTCTTGTTTCTCTATGATTTCTTCTTTATTGTTGTTGATCACTGGCTCCATAACTTGTTTAAATACACCTTTAAATGATTCTGAACGTTGGGGATTCTTAGTGGAGTCAATAGAGCAGTTTAAGTGTGAAAACAATTAATAAATTTAGTTGGGAGCGTCAGTGCATCAATGCATACTCATGGTGCATCAATGTAAAATTCAAATATTTTGATCATTGGACACTTAGTGCATCGGTGCACTAAGAGTGCATCGATGCATCAAGTGCATTCGATGTTTCAAAATAGCTAGAGTACATCGATGCATGGTCTTGTGCATCGATGCATCAAATGTACTTAGTGCATCGATGTATGGTATGTGCATCGATGCATAAAATGCATTCGATGTTTGAAAATATAATTGGTGCATCGATACATGGATTGGTGCATCGGTGCATCACTTTGAAAAATTGATTTCAGGCTTGATTTTGGTTCAAAATACTTTGTGAAAATTGTTTCAAAAATAGTTTAAGTATAAAACATAATTTTACACATTTAGTAAGGTTTGAAATGATCTTGAAACACTTGGAGTAATAATTTGATATTCGATTAATGTAATTGATTATACTTTAGAAAATCATTTGTAAAATCTTAAAATTCATTTAAACTTAGTTTGTTATATCGAAATATCAAAATGTTTTCAACACAATTCTTTTAGCCTGAAAAGATGAGTAACAGAGTGAGCTTTG